TTCACATCGAGGCCGTATCGATAGTTTATCGACGCTTCATTACGTTCATATGAATTTTTATTTTCATCACAATATATCGATAAAAGGTTATTGTTGTGACAATTCGATACAACACTGTTGCAGATGGCATGAATAAAGTTTAATAGTTTTTTTTATTTTTTTTTATACAACTTAGAATGGCAAACAAGCTGACGGCCCACCTGATGGAAAGTGGTAACCGTCGCCTATAGACAAAAACAGTACTGTGGACATAACAGAGTATACTGTTTCGCCCATGATACCCCCCATGCGTTGCCATTCCTGAGGATTCAGGTGTTATTCCTCTGTACCCAGTACATTCACGCTGGTGTTAACTACTGCTCGATAAGTTGCCAACTCTCCTGGCGGGGGGAAGGGATTATTAGTAATGTAGACTACCAGTCCCAATGCTAGCAATATACCCTGTATTGTATTGTATTGTAAAATCTTTATTGAACATAATTCATACTGAACACTAACTAATTTAATATACAATGGCGGACATTTTTTTTTTTCATGAATGAAAATGGAATTGTATCCCCGCGCTATCGGTATACACCGGCGGGGCGCCAGTGAAGGATGATAGGTGAGAATGAAGTAGGTCAGTTAGCCCATCGTAACGAATTCAACAAGAATTGTTCATGATGGTTTCCAGGGGGAACCACGTGGAGGTCAACCTAATATTGCTAACAATGGGGCTGTCAAACTCCATTGCTAACAATCCCTTTCCCCCTAATGGCGGACTTATCTCATAAAGGGATCTCTTACAGTCAGCTCGATCTCCACGTTGTTCCTCCTGGACTCCATTCTGTTGAATTACAGGTGTATTTATCACGATGGGCTAACTGACCTGCCTTTTCATTCTCACCTATCATCTCTCACTGGTGCCCCGCCGGCGTATACCGTTAGCATACGCAGATTACCATTCCCTTATCACCCATTGAAAAAAAAGTCCACCTTATGGAAAATAGTAATTTATAATTCTCTTTGCATTGTAAACAAATTGTTTATTTATCTATGTTTGACATTCAAGCAAAATAATACATATTTGATTGAAAACTAACATTCTCTTATCTTTTAAAGGGACATCAAAGGGCATATCGATAGAGTTCTCCAATATTGACATGCGGATCCCTGCGGAACCCTTTACGTCTTCATACATTTCGCTAATCATAATATTTGTGTTGTAAACAAATCGCAAATAGTTTTTGGAACTTATTTTATTTAACCGTTTGCAAAAAAAGAGGCTTTTATTCTAATGCATTTGTTCCATATATTTTTTTTGTGTAAAATAATTTAATATGCCTAAAATATCCAGTTTATAGCCGAGGGGTATCATGGGTAAAACAGTATACTCTATTGTCGGGGGAAAGGGATTGTTAATAATGGAGACTGAGAATACCATTGCTAGCAATATACCCAACCAGGTCGACCTCCTCGCGGTTCCCCCTGGAAACTATCATGGTTAATTCCTGATCAACTCATCATGATGGGCTAACTGGCCTGTTTTCATTCTCATCTATCACGCTTCACTGGTGCTCCGCCAGTGTATCCCGTTAGCGCAGGCGGGGTTACTATAACATTTTCACCCATCAAAAAAAAAATCTCTGTTATGTCCATGGTACTGCTCATACTGCTTATGTCTATAAGCAACGGTTACCACTTTCCATCAGGTAGGCCGTCAGCTTGTTTGCCATTCTAAGTTGTATAAAAAAACTCATTCATTCATTCATTATTTTCTATGGCGTACAATAAACTTCCAATTTCGTATTACACAATTTTTTTTTTTATTTACTTCTTAAAGTGTATGTAAATGTTACGATTGATGCTATTTCGAGATTACCAGGTGGATGTACCTATCCATCTTTGTCTGTCGTATTAAACTTCGTATACCGCTATCTCTTTCCGCATTGTTAATAATGAAAGCGATTTGGCGACCGGGAATTCAATTTGTAGCCAAAATTAGGGTATAATAAAATTATACAGATTTCGTACAAACCGAGTACAAAGATACAATGGGAGGATTTTAATTTGCCAAGGGGAGATTATGTACCTGTGGTCGCTAATCTTGTTGAATTAAGTACGGCACACATGCCGCTATTATGTTAATTAAAATTAAAATAAATTTATTATATTAGTGAGTGAAATAAACCCCCCCAATAGGGGGGGGGGGGAATTATGTTCAACAGTAAAGAGTTAACAGCTGATAATCGTATTATCTGATGATGAGTGTGTCGTTCCCGAAAATTGTTTCGACTTCAACCGAAAATCTTCAGAGAGAATATGGCGCTTGGTTTCACAGCAACTCTTACTGCCTGCGATAGAGAAGGGATCAGGGAATAAATCGTGGGTACAGATAGTAACTATTTTGGGTAAAATATTAAATCATTCATCATCAGTGGATGCAGGTGGCTCAGGACCGTTTCTTATGGCTGTCAATGGGAAATGAAATGAAATGAAATGAAATTTATTTGCTAGAAACATTGTAGAAAAGGTGTTGCATTTGTGATTAGTGTTGCATAAGATGTCCATTATGTTTCGCCACATCAAATGGCATGCAAATATTCATTATTCTATTTATTTACAGATAGGCCATCTAATACAGGTACATTATATATTTAATTTACTACATTATACAATAAATCACTACTAGTACCAAGTGCACACTGTGGTCATGCATTACAAACAGTCAATAAAGCTATTATAAATAATAAAATGATAGAAATATCAAATAAAATTAAAAAATGGGGGAGGCTTATGTCCAGCAGTGGACGGATAATGGCTGAAATGATGATGATAATGAAATAATCACAATCATATCGTATCGTATCAGTCGTTACCTGCCCACAACTGAAGGGCTCTTCCATAAAGACAAATTTTGCCAGTAGTTGCCATATTTGGCAGGTGAATTGGCAACCTCGATTAGATTTTAGTGATGTTTAAAGAGAGATTCAATTATAATAAACATATTTATTTCATTATGAGCAAACTTTAAAATGTAACCATTCCGTACCAAGTCACAAGAACAATAAAGTTAGCGAATCCATAAAGACTGTAAACAGTGAGCGCTGTAAGAACATTTCTAGCAAACACTCGCGTACTCGGAATCACTTTTTATAGATATTAATAAAACAATGCACTCGTAAAGTTTAGTACGGGACTCGTGTGCGCAGGCCTTTAGTGGGTGCGATACGACCACGACACGATTTCAATAGGTCAGTCAATATATATATCAAGAAGAAGAGAGAATAGGCCCCAGAACCCAGTTATCGTAACAAGAAATAACAGATAAGAAAAAGACACGCCGAAATAACTCGGCTTTTATCCAGTGATCCGGGGGTACTCGCCCCCGCAGTTGAAGACGGGGTAAAGGTGTCCCGCCCCGAGACCCCCACATACTACTCTCTATAGGAGGGTTGGCAGACCTATCGCCGTACAAGTTAACGTTGATTCTTCGAATCGTCTTAACTCTAAATTGTGAGATAGATACACCAAAAAACTTAGAGGATGCAGGAGCATCATTTACAATTTTTAATTAAAAAAATGTATCAAATGTTTTGTTACATTCAAATTTGAAATTTATATATTATTTAGATCATTTTTATTGTTTTTGTTTTTTTTTTTATTAGAGATTCTATGTATTTTTTCTTGTCACCACTTCAAATTTGTGTATTTATTATACCACATACGAGTAAGTGGTAAACAAGTTTACAGCCTATATTATGATAAACTTATACATATGTATGGTATGGTTTTGGAATGAGCTTCCTGTCGAGATTTTTCCAAGAAACTACAGTAGGGGGTTCTTCAAAAAAGGGATAAACAAGTTTCAAGGTCAACAATGCGCGCGTAATGCTCCTGATATTGCAGACGTTCATAGGCTACGGTAACCGCTTACCTTAAGGTGGGCCGTATGCTTATATGCCACCTCAGTGGTGTAAAAAAAATTATAGTGCGGCGAGTCAAAATATAGTACTGTACTATATAATATAGTACGGACAGTAACCCTACTCTGTCGCCACGTGGATTTAATTAATTTTATTAAAAAGTTACAATCCCACTAAAATGTATATCAGAGAAGTCTTTCTGTGTCACATATTTTGTACAAGTTGCAATCTAGTCGTGAGTTGTAAAGATATTCTATTCAGCAATTCAAGTGAGTGATACACTCCACTGTTTTATTGTAAGGATAATTTAAATGGTATTTTTATTATTGGGGTGCAAGTTCGTGTTATAGGCGCACTTCGATGCCCGGTCAATACAATTTAGTCGGTTTATATAGCATGTGCAATAACATGTGAATACTTAATACACGTTTATATTCGGCAATTTAATTTTGTCGGATAATAGAATTTACGATCGCCCTATTTATGTGCGCATTACGACGGCGGACTTTTAAAGTGATGCATTTAATATATAATACATTTAAAAAAACTTAGATATCTATTAGACTATTAAATAAACTAGTATTTGAAGCTTATTAGTTGGTATTTTTTAGTTATATATCACTGATCATTTGGCTTTGTAGCTTCGGCATAAAATAGGCTACTCCTTCCTTTTGGGTGTCGTAAGAGACGACTAAGGGACCATAATGGTTGAGGGATAGACAGCAGCGTCCCTCTTAAAACATCACCAAAGCCTGTAGTTGCCAAACCACCTGCCAAACGTAGCAATTAAAAGCAAAATACCCCAAGGGGAAGGCTTATGTTTAGCCGGGAACAGTTAACGGCTGTATCACCATCATATTACATATCGAATAAAAACTACCTTATCTTTCAGATTGGAGTAAATACGTTTACGAAATTTCATTAAAATAGGTTTAGCTGTTACAGAGATTAGAGTACACAAACATCGTGACATGTAGATTTTTATATATTAAGATAAACTAACCGTAACCCGCGGTTGCTTGATCGAATTAGAACGATCAAGTATTCTCTAATAAAGTAACAAAAACTCAATTAGTATCTTTCTCTCTTTTCCAGATCGACGCAGCATCAACTCAAGACGACGAAGGGTCTAAAGGGTCTCTCCTGTCATCCATTTTACCCAGCAAGCTGTCTGGGTCTATATGTACTGCGGTATTGTTAATGCTAGGTTGGAAGTTGTTCTCCAACAAACGATGAATTAAAATCGCCAACCTACATTCATGGCATTACGCAGCAATGTATAGCGTGTTACGAATAATATCGTGTTATTCTATACAACACGCTTTTTTATATATATATAATATTATTGTAAGTACATTTTTTATACATATTTAACCATTTTATATTATGTGACGTAATAACGCACGACTTTGGCTAAAGTTGTGTGATTGTAAATGCGTCTAATCGAACGCACATAATGTTGTAAATTACTATTTTTGAAATGTATAACACTTTTTAATATATAAATATAATTATATGATGATGTATTCAGATCAAAATATAATTGTGAAGGTATAAAAAATTACGACTTTTTACGTATATTTTGTTAATTTATTACGAACGAATTGAAACAATTATTATTTTAATGACAGCGATTATATAATTATCTCTGAAATTATAATATTTAAGTTAAAGAAATTATTAATTTGAAATTATAAATTAATAATAAATATTGTGTATAAATATCAAATTGAAATCTGAAGTGTCATTTTGGTATTGTATAAAGTTTTATACATTTTGCGAACGAATCAAAAGAAAGCGCCGAGTAGTTTTTATAATGAAATATTTGTATTGTTATTATTATTATGTAAATGAAATTAATTATCTCTCTATACTGTAACATTATGGCCATTAACTGATAAACTATGGAAAATTCCATAAACGCAGTCCAATTTGATATTTGCGATTCTATTGTTATTAAAATAATTATAAAATAATTAAAACGTCAATTTAACATTCCGCTTTTGGTGTTGAAATATATCCATAGTTATATAAAACGCGTACATAAATACAAGAAATATTATTACGTAGTTATATAATAATTATAAAATTAAACTATTTTGTAAAATGGACCAGCTATTTGAGATTGTATAATGTATGAGTGTCATAAAGATAGATAGATTTTATTTAAAGAAAAATGTAATAAAATGTCCGTTTTTTTTTTTCACAAATTGTTCCAAAGAGAGCAAACCTAAAATATATCATTGATCTCATTTTATTATTTTTTTTGTAATAATGGAAATGTTAATTTAGAATACCTTAATGTTTAAGCATAAGCCAGTTGGGTAGGGTTCGTGCCAAGTTGTTTATGGTGGAGATTTTATCAGAGATGGACTATTTTAATATTATAAATAACTTTAACTGTGTAAATAAGTATATATAAGAAAAAAATCAAATGCCTCGTTATATCTGTTTTTTAATGTCCAATTTTTAAAAAAATATTTATATTAATATTTTATTCTGTATTCTCAAAGAATCATGAAAGAAGTATTTTAGAGAGTAAGAAAGATTTTACCTGACTGCCATGGGATGGAGAGTAGTATTTTTTCAAGTGTATGTACTATGTGTAAACTAACTGACTCGATAATTAATGAGGGTCTCCCTAATTTTATTGAGGGGGTGCTATGTAAGAATGATGGACGACAGTATAATAAGTATAGTGCCATAAACTTAAACAAAAAGAATTAATAATAAAAATTTACTATACAAAAACAGTCGGGACTTTGTGACTTTCTTATAAAGTATTTTGTCGGTGAGTGAGGACAGATATAACAAGGCTTTTGGTGATGTGTATCTACATTACTACCAAACGTAAACAGTCCGATATATTTCGACTAGTTGTTTGGACTCAAAAACATATTAAATATAAAATATAATATTGTTTAATATAATACTCCATTAGTTCGATGCTAGTTGATTACTCGTAAATTTAAGTTTTGAGGCTTCGATTTACTCTTGTCTCATTAATTACTGATAATGTTATCAAAAGTCCCGTTATTGGTTATTATCATCAATTCTAGAGAACTGTTTAATTCTTGTATTATTTTTTTTCTTTTTATATAAAATTCATGAAATTTAATTTTTAGCGAAATTTGTTACACAAATTAGTCAAAAAGTTTTGATAGATAATTGTGATGATAACAAAACTATAATGGGTTTTGTACACATAAAAGTTATTTCGACGGGAACAAGTATTTTGGGAACAAAACTGTGTTGCTTTTTAGATACCATTTTTGTGTTTAGTATTTTTAGTATTTTGTTTTAGAATTACGAACTATATAGAAGCATGTGTTCAAATGTGATATTGTATTTATTTAAGAAGATGATTAAATAAAAAAAAAAAGAAGTTTTCCTAATGATCTCTTGGAAACTCTTATTTGCCGGATGAATTTTGCTACTTTGTGCTACCAAGTTAAAAGATATATATGTTTAAAAGGTTATTATTATTCGGCTTAATTAGTTAGTTTTATGTTGGTGTAATTTTTTTCCAATTTGAAACTTATTCGTAACTAAAATCTTTGGTCTCTCTGATTACTTAATTTTATGCTTATTATATTATATATTTTGTTTGTATCCAATAGATATATTACAAATATAATATTGACTTGCCCATTATTAGATACACAAAAATCTAGCACCTCGAATAGAAAAAAAAAATATAATCTTAAACTACGAGAATAAACTGTCGCCTGATAGCAAAATATTTGGTAGAACAAAGTAAAATGCAAAATAAACATAAAATAATGCATTTAAGAGTTTTGTACATAAAATTAAAATTGGTATGCTTAACGCACTTAAGAATGTAAACATGTAGAGAAAATTTTCTAAATTTCCATAATTAACGCTTTACATGAAATGACATGTATTTGTTATATAAGACACAATTTTATATACTTCCTGGTTATTTAATTCACCTTAAACACAAATATGTTTATTATTTTGTATATTAAAGTTATTTAAAATATTTAATAAAATATTTATATATAGTCAATAAATGAAATTAAAAAAAAAAAAAACAATATTAACATCAACATTCCATTGATACTAAACGAAAAAGATTCTCTCGAACTTGTCTTTAACACTACCTTACACGTACTAGTTAATAAATATATTTTTATTTATAACATTTTTCTGTTTTGCCAAATAAAGATCCTCGTGATAATATTCTTCTAAAGAAAGACGATTACTTAGAATATTAAATATATCGAAACCGCTAAATATTTTTTATTAAAAAAGTTGTGTCTTCTATACAAATATAAATAAAGCTTACTGCTTGTAACACAGTAATATTATTAACGTATAATTATTACAAACCTTTAAGCAATATAATTGTAATTATCTTTAGATGTAAGTGAACTCTCGCTACCATGTCTTTCTTAGTTATATAAAAAAGAAAGAATTCCACGGTTCTTAATTCACTTTTTTTTTTTTCAACAAAATTTTAACAACAATTTTTATATTTAGATTAATTCATATTTTTATACTTAATTATACTAGTTTTTAGAAACGTGTGATTCTACAACATGTTAATAACATGTCATGGCCTGTATATTTTAGTTAATTTAGCTTTTTTTTTTTAGTGAATATTACATTCGTAGTACTTAGTTTTAATTTTATTTGTATAATCTATTTTTAATGTACCAAGTTTATTATGAATTATGTACTCCATTTTGAATTATGTATTTAAACATTATTATTTTAAACTGCCAATTATTATATCTGTTTTAATAATCTTTATTTGAAAATATAATTTTTATAAATAAATGTGTTTTATTTTTAAACACTTATATTATACAGTATTAGGTACGTAATTATCATTTAAATGTATAATATTATATAAGACCGGATTTATGAAGAGTTCCAATGGGAATGATATATGGAAACTACATAATTAGAAGCAAGCAATGTCTCTGAAAACGGTCAGTTTATAAAAATGAATGAAAGTTTACCACTCTTTCAGGCCAAAAATACTGAATGGATTTAAATGAAATTTAATACATGAATTAATGTTTTGTCGTATAAGTAACATTAAAAGACTTGAAAAATAGGTTATATATTATTTTCTATCTAGCCATACAAAGCTGGGGCGGATCACTAGCAGCTAATATAACCATAAGAAATAACAAATGAACTAAGAACCTCTTCTTTTTTTGAAGTTAGTTTAAAATATTATTAATCTACTATGATTCTGGTATAGTAGATATAACAAAATATGTAATCAATCAAAACTGGAAACAATTTTCTATACCATTACAAAGTGTTACCAACTCCACTTTAAGTTTGAAACTCATATGGTGTCTAAGCACTATCCGTCTAACTTAAATGTCTTTTACAAGAAAGAAAGTTAGAAAAACATTATATAGAAGAGTTAAGTTGAGCACTTAATGTGGTCAGTTAGACTTGATGTATTTCAGTTGAACTTCAGCACTTGTTAGTTTTATGATCTAGAAATTGATCTTAAATTATATCATCTATTTCCAAGATTGAATAAATTTTTTTAATACCCCTTTTATTTGACTTTAGAAAAAGACTTCAATTCGGTTTTATTTAAGTATGTTTGTTACCTCATAAATTTGTCATTTATAAATCAATTTTAATTTTTTTTTTCTATCTGAAAGAATATGCTTTCAGATTGGTTCTACAGAAATATAATTGAAATCGGTTCGGTAGCTTAATTTTTAAATCTAAATGGTTTTGCCACGGTTGAAAACGGTTTTAACGAAATCTACTTGTTGCACTGCACAGTATGTTACATATTGTTTTTATTTATTTACTTTTATCCAACTTGTAATGGCAAACAATCTAAGGCCCGCCTGATGGAAAATGGTAATTGTTTCCTACAAACGCTCACTACTTCAATGCTCATTGATAATGAACAGTTAAAATACTGATGATTATATCTTTGCTATTGTAAACTTTCATAAAGTATGAAGAACGCTTACAATTATGCAGACCGTATGCCTAAAACTAGCTAATTGTAGGTATTATAATTTTAGATAAAAAAAAATGTATAATAGAATTATTTCTCTAGAAAACAATCTAGAACTATGGCAGTGTTTAAAATATTTACTTTTCCACACAAGTACAATTAATTTAAACGAGAAAATACAAAGTTTTTGAAATAGGAATATATTACAAGTGACGGTAGAATAGAAATTAAACATTAAAATCAAATTAAAATCATTAAATTTAATGTGGGTAGGTTACAAAAGATGAAACCGGACTGCATCGACTCTGCTCCAATTACATGTAGAACTGCAATAGTCATCAATAACTATTATAAAGGTACTCCAACGTCGTGAGCTGACGATTCTATTACAAGAATGTAAAAGTCATTTTTAAGTTATTTATTAATACGGAAAGTTATTTATACGGAACTAAGTATTTTGGGAACAAAAGTCTGTTGCTTTTAACATAGCATTTTTTTTAATTAATTAATTAAATTAAATTAACGACTTTATGAATATAAACATGTAGAGAAAATTTTCTAAATTTCTATAATTGATGTTTTACATAATATGACATGTATTTGTTATATAAGACATAATTTTATGTACCATAAACACAATAATATTTACTGTTTTATATATTTTTCGTTATTTAATACTTTTAATTCATAAATTATCGGGATACTTTATTTCCACATAACAAAATATAAATATGTAATTAACACAGAAATTTCAACATCTAAACAAGTTTATGTAAATATATATTTAATAATTTAACCGCTATTAATGAACTAAAAATATATATATTCAGTCAATAAATAAAATAAAAAATTGGCAATACTAAAATCAACATTCCAATGATATCAATATTCTCTCGAACTTGTTTTGAAAACCATACACATACAATTTAATAAATATATTTTTAAGTGTAACATTTTCTTATTTTACCGAAACAAGGACCTTATAATAATGTTCTTCTAAAAAGTGATGATTACTTTTATGTAAATATTTTAATTCAAAAAAGTTGTGTCTTCTATACAAATATAAATAAAGCTTACTGCTTGTAACACAGCAATATTATTAACGTATAATTATTACAAACCTTTAAGCAATATAATTGTAATTATATTTAGATATAAGTGAACTCTCGCTACCATGTCTTTCTTAGTTATATAAAAAAGAAAGAATTCCACGGTTCCTAATTCAAACACTTTTTTTTTCAACAAAATTTTAATAACAATTTTTATATTTAGATTAATTTATATTTTTATACTTAATTATACTAGTTTTTAGAAACGTGTGATTCTACAACATGTTAATAACATGTCATGGCCTGTACTACTCACTGACTTATGTCTAAAAATATTTACAATTAGTAATTATTTTTAGACATAAGTCAACTATCACTACCATGTCTTAGTTATATAAAAAAGAAAGAATTGCACGGTTCTTAATTTAAGCACATTTTTTAATAAAATGTAAAAAACAATGTTTATACTTATATTAATTAATATATTTATATTCATTAATATTTTTATATTTAATTAAACAATTTTTTTTAGAAACGTATGGTTTTACAATATGTTAATAATATGTAATGGCTCGTATATTTTAAATAATTTATATTTTATTAGTGAATATTACATATATACTATATTCTACGTTTATTTTATAAAGTCATACCAAATGACTTATTACGAATTATGTACTCCATTTTTAATTATGTTCACTAGTACCCCGTCATTATATTCCCTTAACCTAAACCACAATTCCATCTTAATGCATTAAAAAAATCTCATGCGTTGCATCCTAAGGACTACGGTGTTATAACCCCGTACCCTGGCTTTTTTAATTATTTTTATTTATTTATTTATTTTATTTATTTCACTGTAATACCCCTTCAATCCGAAACAACCATGCAAAGAATTCAAACACATCAACAAACTCTTTGACGACGGAAACACGAGTGGGACACAAGTACCCGTGCGGAGAACTCTCAGTCTGTTCTATTTTGAAATCGCATCATTTACGTTTAGTTAACGTCTAAACCAATTATGTTCGGCAGCAAATTAAAACGATTTATTGCTACATTCAGACCAAGTTGTGGGGTATTTCAGGAATCTATTGGTATTGTGTGGTCGTATCATTCTCTGGAGATGTTTGTTTTTATGTACATTCTATTTTTTCTGTTATAGTACTTAACCATAGCTCTTGGTATTTTTTATATCCATTGTTCACTAACAATGAACAATAATAATGATGATGATTATGTCTCTACTGTTTTAAGCTGTGAAGTACACTTGCCGTCAGGACAGTATTTTTTCTTTTTTTTTTATACAACTTAGAATGGCAAACAAGCTGACGGCCCACCTGATGGAAAGTGGTAACCGTCGCCTATAGACATGAGCAGTAGTATGGACATAACAGAGTATACTGTTTCGCCCATGATACCTCCCATGCGTTGCCATTCCTGAGGACTCAGGTGTTATTCCTCTGTACCCAATAAATTCACGCCATATCCCACCCTTCAAACCGAAACGCAGCCATGCAAACACAACTTCTTTACGATTGAAACACGAATGGGACAGAGGTACCCAAGCAATCGACTTTTGTACAAAGTCTCCCTCTGGTTAGTATGCTTAAAACGAGCTAATTGCAGGTATTCACTTATTTACTTACACTTTATTGCAATATTTATTCCATTGTTTCTGCCTACCCTCATGGAAAACAGCATGATGCAGCTCAGTTGGCCATCGTGACGAATTCAACAATAATTCTAGGACAATTGTTTCTGGAAGGAAGGACCGAGTAGATTTCAATCTGATACGATGTATTGATATCAATGGAGTTGCTAGACCCCATTACTAAGAATTTTTTCCCCCTCATTGAGGGTAATATAGTCGATCGACAAATGATTGAATTCAATTTATAGATTAAACACAACTCACTTCATATTTTCACACAAAACACAGGGGGTCAGTTAAAAAAAAAAGATAAAAAGGTCTAGTGCGAGTTGAATTCACATACCGAGGGTTCCGTGGAAAAGATAATTTGGTAGTACGTTTTTG